GTACAATTTATTTAATTCAGGTATTTGCTTATGTGGGAGGGAGAGAAACATTACATTTAATGCGTTGAGAGTTTATCGACTGTACAGTTATGAATTTACTAAGCGTATGCTTGATGAATTTCTTACGAAAATTGGTATTTGGTGGCGTTAATTTTTGTAATTAAAAAAAGAAAGCAGCAGTTTGTTTTACTCTAAGTAGTATACAAAAAATTTGTTAGAATAATTACAGCAAGTTGAATACAAAACTGTAATTTGGTATAAGGTGATCACAGTAGCGAGGGATAACTGCGCGCTAAAAGGTTTGTTCAAAATAGGCGTAGCTCCGCCCTCTAAATTGTTAAGTATGTATATCTTTCAATCACGTCTCAATGAAGTTATTAGAATAAAACTTTGCACAATTAGTGCCTTTAGATATTTCATCTTATGCCCAAAAATTATCGAAATCGTACTATAATTTTTCAGCTACCCAGATACCAAATATGTGGAATCTAGTGCATAAGACTGATTTCTTACCGCTTATATCGGTCAATCTCTGAGTTATAGTATTGAAATTCGGGAGAATATTTTTTTGCTACCCTTATGCCAAAAATGGTTAAAATCGGGTGCATACTTTCCTTAGCCCCCATATAGCTAATATAAATATTTTCGAACTTCCACTTGACTTTATATCGCATCTATCAGTTAATATGTAAGAAATCTTAATGAAATTGAGTATTGCCATAAATGGATGAAATTAGGGCAATACTTCCTCTAGTCTCCATATACTAAATAAACGGATTTTCAAACATCCACATTCACTTTATACCTTATACGAGAATATTGGTCCTTATGTTTTTTACTGAAATTCAAACGCCATTTATTTCTGGTAATGATATGTCGTAATTCCAAAACTGGATAAACGCTTGTCAACATATTTCCTAGCCCCATTTACTTTATAAAAGAAAATCGATAAGAATTTCAAACTTCCGGTTGGCTTTGTACCGTAAATATTGGTCAATATGTTAGGTATCTTATTAAAATTAAATGAAATTATATTATTGGATATACCATGATTTAATGCAGAAAATGTGTGATATCGTTCCAGATATTACCCCAGCCCCCATATACTACATATAATGATTTTCAATAGTCCAGATTAAAATAGGGATTTCCCATCTTTTGATTGTTGTTTTTTCGTAGATTCCATTTAATAAATTTAGCTTTGATTGCGTTTATATCATATATATCTCAGTTGATAAATTTAATTTTTTTTAAGAACGAAAAATTTTTAAGGGCCTTAGGTTATCATCAGAGGTATTTTAAAATTTTTCTTTTTTAATTTCCATCTTTTAATTTTTTTTATCTATATAATAAGCATATATATTTTTCAAATCTGTAATTTGTATAAATTAAATCATTCCCACCTTTAAAGCACTTAAATTTGCCATACATAACTCCATATTAAATATGCTGGTTTCACTTCAAAACCACCCGCAACTCATATCATAACAAAATCTACCTTTTAGTCGAACAAACAATCAGCTGTTTGTGCAAAATTTTCTCCGCCGGTAACTCGCTGTAAAACTCACTGCCGCTCGGGGCGAACACAAATACTCGTACAGTTGGTCGTGCAATTCCCAGCTGAAGCTGAAAATTCCGCGCTACACACCTGCAATTCCTCTCCGAAAGGAGAGTACAGTAATTTTGCGCCCACAGGAATTCGCTCTTTCGGAGTCAAGCGTTATACCGAATATTTTTGCACATGCCACGAATACAGCAACTTAATCGTAGCTGCTTGACGAGTGGCAACGATTGTTGTTATATGAGCGCTTCGTAAGCGGCAAGCATAGCGCAATTCACCACACTTTGTAATTCATGCATAGGTGTTTGTGTGTGTATGTGTGACCGTGTGTAAATAACTTCAAACTTCCTGTTGCAACGAAGCAAAGCAAAGAAACAAGAAAAACAAAAACAACATAACTTGTGCGCTCCAGCAACTGTGTACTTCCTGCCAGGACACAAAATTCAGTTGAGCTTTGGTTATCGTGCGAAAAGGCCGCAACTACGGTTGTTGTACGTCGTAAATGTTGGAATTTTTTTCACGCAAACTGTTGATAATAAAACTATACAAAGTGTGTTAGGAACAATACTGTGTCAGAAATGGCTGAAATTATGACTAAAAACGAGTTTGATTTTAACTTAGAGTTGTAAAAACTGTGCCGCCACTAACGGTAGTTAAGTGTGAGTTTTTTAAATTTTTCTTTAGCCGGCAGCGCTGGCCGTTAAAGCGGCTAACTGGCGCTGACAAAGACAGTGCGCTGAAAAATGTTCAAGCGGTGAAGCACTTTTAAATTGGCTGTAACTTAAATTTTTTCGTGTGTGCGCGTAATGACTTTTCCGTTGCCTACATTTAGGCACTTAACCCAACAACAGCCGCAATCTAAGCCGCCTACAACAACCTGCTGTTGCTGTTAAGCGCTTGTTCCGGTCGCGTTCCTTGCGCTAAACCTCCGCGCTGTTCCGTCAACACATTAATATTGCAGTCGTTTGCTGCGTCACGCCGTCATGCCGCCAACATTTGTTTATCATTGACGCCGTTACTCGCTAATTGCTGTGATTCGTTGTTGTTGCAATCGCTGCTGCGCCGCTCAAGGCTCGTTAGTCGCGGCTGTCTGGCTTGGATGCTTACTAACACAAATCCATTTTGGGTTAAGTGCGACAATTAATTTTTGTTGTAATTATCGGCGACGTAGTTGGCAGGCGTTAAAACTGTCTAATTGAATTGAATTGTGGACGCAAACGAATTTGTCGTGAGAGCGCTACGTGTTTGTGTGTGTGCCCGTGTCTATTAGTGTTACTTGAAACACTTGTGAGTGTTAGCGGTGCTCAGTGTAAGGCTTGACTGAAATTGTAACGCCTTGAAGCAGGCTATACTTTATGACGGTGTGTGGTTTTGCTTGCTGTAAGCGGTTTTATGTGTGATTTTTTTTTTTGAATTTGTTTAAAAAAATGGCTTTGTAAAAAATAAATTTTAAAGAAATGTTAAGAAAAAAATTTGCAAACACACTTTTTCGCTTACTGCTTAAAAAATAAGTTGCTAACTCAAAATTTCTTTTATCAAATATTGATTTGTACATTTTGTGTATTAAATATATTAAAAAATAAAATAAAAAATATAGTTTTAAAGTATAGAGTTCTTGGTGACTTAGCAAGTGTTGAAGAATTCTATGACAAAATGCAAAAATATATAAGATTTAATATCTTCAAAAAAATTACGCGCAGACTTATTAAAAATACAAAATTTGTAAAAAATGTTTATAAGGTGCTTTAAATTTTTTGAAAAGATATGCTAAACTGAAAATTAGAGACGTATTTAAAAGAAATAAAAAAAAATTTAAAACTTATTTTGTTTTAAAAAAAACTGAAACAAGCATAAATATAATGGCATTATCATGCGAAAAAAAAAACCTAAAAATAAATAAAAAACACTAAATATTTGGAAATACATAACAGTTTCCAAAATTCGACATACTAAAGTCCAAAAAAATGTTTGTTGCAAAGTTTGCTCCAAAAAACAACGAAATAAACACAATAAAATTAATTTAAAATTAAATTTTAGCCACAAACATTTCTAAACTAAGCAATTGAAGAATATAAAGAATACAAAAATTGACATCCCCGCAAATAAAATGCTGCTGCTTGGCCTCTTCAGCCACCTGCTAAGCAGTGGCAAGTTCTGGACGACGCGGCGCCCAAACGCCAGTCAACACATGGATATACGATTTGTCTTCGTTATATTTTTTCTGCTTAAATGGTCGCATGCACAAGGTAAGTGAGAGCAAAAACAAAAAAAAAAAAAACAAAAAACAATTTAAAAATATATATAACAAAAAATTATAAAGAGAAACAACGCACAAGAAAAACAAATAAAAAAGCACACTAACGAAAAAAGAAATATAAAAAAAACAAATACTTTAAAAAAATCGAAAACGAAAAACCAAAAATTTACACAAATTTAAGTTGCTAAACAAACAGCAACGAAAATGTAGATAAAATCGAAAACAAAAACAAAAAACAACAAGAAAGAAAATTACATAAACCATCAACAACAACACAAAGCTCATTTAAACTTTTTGTGCTTGCGTTGAAGTGCAATAAATTTATTAGTTTGAAGTTGTTACAACACAGCACATAAATAACGGCATTGTTATAAGTGAGCACTGTGAAAATGTAAGCCATATAAATGTAAAAGTCCAACTTTTTCGTACGCTTGTTTGAGGCGATAAGCGTGTGATAAAGTGTGGAGCGTGCTAGCGTGTATGTGTGTGTCCGTATATGTGTGTGTCTAGAACTTAAAATGTGTCGCTATCTGCTTAAGTAGGTCTGAATAATACTATGTAGATACCTTCATACCCATTTAGGGCGTTTAGGGTCCTCCTTGCTCTTTAGTCTGGTCCTTGCCGCATACACGTTGATAAAATTGCCTCAAACAGGCGGCAACTGACACGTAAAATGATTGTGTTTAATGTTTAGTACGTGACCAATGAACAGTACGGAACTTTTGCTTTTAACCGTACTGTGTTTCATGCATTTTTTTTATCTAGAGCTTTGTTTAAGTGCTGAGTATTTATGGTAGAGTCTAATAAATGTTGGTTCAGTAGGTCAGGTAGCTTAAATATATAGGACTTTTGTACATAAAAATTAAGCGTGGTATTTTCAGATAGATCAGCAGGCAAGCTAAAATTTACTGTGTAAAATTGTCAGTTTAGGAGGCATCTTAATGTTGTGTATATAAAATTTTTATAATTGTATTTCAAATGCTTATGTTGCTTTTAAAACTAACACCTACAAAACCAGTCGAAAATCGAAAATTGATTTCATGCTAGAAATCATCAAATCTTTTTCGTCTGATAAGTTCAGTCTTTTTTTCAAACAGCGGCGCCTTTCACGATTTCTCTCGTTCTCAAAGTTAGTTCGTATTAAAGAACGTTCTGTCATAGTTTGGGTAAAGGTGGTAAGCTCGCCATTTCTCTAATATTAGCTTTACTAAATAATACCCAAATTATAAATATTCGGAAGTTTGGAAATCTTATATTAGTTATCTGAAATGGAGATGGTATTGAACCGATTTTTCTCTGTTTAGCATTACTATATATTATTAGCAGAAAAAAATGTGCTCTAAGTTTCATTAAGGTATCATCAATGTACATAAGGTATAATGTGTAAGGTGAACTGAATGTTTAAATATCCTGATATGTATTATATAGGGGCTAAGCAAATTTTCTCCCTATTTTATCCATTTTAGGTATAAAAATGCACCCCCCACTTAATTTTATAAAGATAGCTCACGTATTGGCGGATATACAAGTATGCGTTATACGGTCAAAAATCCCTCTATTTGGTATATGTGGGCTAAGGGAAGTATTGACCCGATAGAACGCATTTTTAGCATACAGATATACATACTAATATAACGGAAAGTTGCTCTTTGAATCACATATATATTATATATTAGGTGCAGTAAAAATAAAATCCATTATGTTTGCATGAAACTTAATGCTTTAATTATTACTTTTCGTATCCAGTCTTAATCAAATGGTTCTAAACGGTTTTTGGGTAATGTTTAGGTCCTGGACAATAGTTATCGATATTTGGACTCTGTGAGTTCCATTATTTGATCGCTTAAACAAAAGTAAATCAATCAATCACAAAACGTTTAAAACAGCTTTTTTATTACGAAATGTCATCTTTCTAATGCCATCCAGCCGAACCCGATAGGACTTATATAACTCGAGATACAGATAAATAACGCTATCTATTGGAAAAATAATGGATTTCTATGTACTACATCTAATATCATACTCATTGACCTATATTTTCGAGAAAAGGTCAACCGTAGGCACTAGGTTCTGCAACTTTGGTATCAGGGGCTTGAACAGTTATGGTAGGATTTTAACAATTTTTGGTCGTAAGGTGGCATACTTAAAATACTCTATTCGTACAACGTTTTATACTATACTGGAAAGTCAAAGAATTAGATGGTATTTAAAATTGTGTTATATATGAAGCAAACATTGATGTGATGTGATTGTGTTTAGTAGCATACGAATCGTCCAATTTCGATACCATAAGAGGAATTTTGTACTATCTCGGATGTAAAATTTAATGCCCCTGACGCATTAAGTTATTGATTTATGCCACTTTGAGTACTTTTAACAATATCCCTTAAATGGCAAAAATTTAATCATTTAAAAAAAGGCATACCTTATTTAACCCATTGCCACCATTGATATACTTTAATCATATTCTTTTATGCTTGAAGCTCCTAGTTAGACAAAACCAGCTTTTATTTTAACTATGGACCATCATTTATGTTCTTTAACATATTCGAATCCGGTTGAACATTAAAATACAAATGAGCTTAAGGTTGGCGAATGGTTTTGCTTAATCTTGGTTTGGAGATGTCTAGTTCTTTGAGAAAAATGATATACTTGCGAGTATTTGGCAGATATAAGTAATACTATGCAAATTTCTGAAGCCTTGAAATCAATTTTAAATCAGTTTTGCATCTCTAGTTCTTATTATTTATCGATTTATAAGTTTATACTTACGTCAAAATTATCAGATGGACAAAAGCATTAATTAAGTGGAGAAAGTGTTATATAGGTCATTTAAAAATTTTCTACTCAGATTGTGGTATGGAAGATTGCATGAAAAATCATATTTCTCGGAGAAGATAAACTATTACCCTTTGTATATTATGATGTCATATTAATGTAGGAAGACTACTCCTTTGAAGGAAATATATCTTGGACTATAAGCACTCCGTTGTCGTTTTAAATGTTTATCCATTTTGAAGTTCTCTACTTTTTTAAAGAAAAAAGAAACAGAAAGTTAAAATCCAATTGAGAATATTTATTATCATTCGAAATAATATTCTTTCGCATTTATTTTTTAAAGATTATCTTGTTCAAATTTTGGCCGCGGCTATGTCTCAGATGGTCCGTCCGTTGAGTCTAATTTTCGATGACTCGTTCGAACATTTCGACTGGCAACTGGCGAATGTACCAAATAATCGGTTATCATGGCGCGATATTGGTCGCCATTGACGGTTTCGTTTTCACCGGCAAAATTTTTGAAGAAATATGGACCGACGATTCTACCGGCCTACAAATCACACCAAATCGTTTTTTTTCTGGATGAAATGGCTGCTCTGCAATTTTGTTTGGTTACATACCCATTGAGCCAGAAACTGGCCTCATCTCTGAACAAAATTTTGCTAGAAAACGTCGGATCTTCTTGGATCAAGAGCACATAGAGCTTAATTTTTTCCACAAGCTGTATTTTGTACGCTTTCAATTTAAGATCACAAAGTAAAATGCGTCAAGTCGTTCCATAGGTCAGTCCGAGTTGCTGCGAACGGCGTCGGATCGACTCTCCACCACGGTCTTTGTGTACAACCTCAGCTACGGCCGCCAAATTTTCATCACTGCGTGCTGGGCGTGGTTTATTCGGTCGAATAATATCCAATAATGAATGCTGGGTCTCAAAATGGCTGTTGGTGTTAATGATAGTACGCTCAGTAAATAAGTTGAGCGAAATGATATGACAAGTTGACACAACCCACGTGATCTCTCAAAAAATGCCATCTATTTCACTTAATTGACAAGATAGCCTTCATAACAGAGTGGCTGAAATCAGTCAATATCTTCTTCCACTCTCCATATGGTGGATATACAGACTGCAGTCGTTTCAGCTAATTACTCAGAATATGTCTCTGAAGTTTGTAAATGGTGAGTAGTAAGTCTAAAACCTACATTACTCTTACGTGAGTTTTTCTTTTCAAAAAATGCTTATCTTATGATTCCTTCACTAATTGTGGTTAATTGATCTATAATTTTATCTCTTTGGACTGATATCATTGGAAGTATAAAATTTACAGTTAGCGGAACTACTTATATATAAATATATATATCGTATGAATGAAAGATATAATAATAATATGTAGTATATTTTTCTGCAGCGCCAGCTGGTTATATCTCAAACATAGGGTTAGATCTGCAATGTACCTTTTACAAAGGACATCTTTTGAAAATGCTACCATTAAATAACTTGATGAAAAATAAATGATGATAGTAGCTTAGGAGCTGTTGTCAACTCTTCTTATTTATTATTTTCCCTTGCGCAACAGAAATCAGGTAGCTTTAACCGAAGGGAGGAATTTGACACAGATAATGGTTTTGAGTGAGTCAAACACCTTTGTTTTCATTGATCAAGCATAAGTTTGAGTTTAAGCCATTTTCGCTTTTAAATCTGTGATGTAATATCAAATATAAGTATCAAAGCAAAATTTATTTCATTCATAAGGCTCAATATAAATAAAGGAATCGTTGCAGTTTACTAAATTTTGCCGCGCAATCTCTATATTTATTTACTTTAAATATGTTATAATAAAGTACATAACCAACAAATTATATATATATGATATATATATGTATATTAAGTATAGATGAAAGTTAGAAAAATATGATAGAAGGATATCATTTTTAGATAAAATGCAAATTTTTCCTCCACTTTGCAGTACTATCTTGTGAATATTTTAGCTAACATCTTAAATTATATGATTTCATAACGGCAAGTAAAAAATTTTCATATATACATAAGGAAGCCTAACACCATGCACTCACTGAAAAGGGTCACCTTTAATGTCAAGAAAATGTACCATGCATTCACCTTAAATCAAATGTACGTAATGTACACAGAGCATGGCTGCCACTGAGAATTTGGGTTAACAGGAATCGACTGTAATAAATGCAACACAAAAAGGA